CCCACAGAATGAAAAATATTGGACACGGACAGAGGCTGCGCTTGTGACTGTATCAGGTGTTATTACACTTGGAGGGGCGTGTATGTGATTGAGTTACCAATGTAGGTTAACCCTAATAGAGAGCTTGTTAGCCGCTGTCGCCGGCGCGTCTGGCCTCTCTTAAACTAGTCAAAGCATCAGGTGGCTTTACTCATTTTCTGATTCTATCTCCCTTCTTATTCTTCCGTCTGCTTTGCTGTCTCGCACCTATAGCAACGGATGATGAAATGAAAGACAGCCAACAGGGGTAGAGAGGTCAAAACATACTTGACTATGTGTGTGTGTGTGTGTGTGTGTGTGTTTTGGTTGAGTGAATTTGATTCATTAGGCAGGACACACACTTCTGTCCCCTCATCCCACAGTTTCAAATATACTGTACATCGTGCGAGTGTGCCTCTATTTTATGAAAATGTGTGCGTGTTCTCAAGGTAAGCCCTGAGCCGCTCGGCAGGTGAGCTCCTTTCATCCCCGTCGCGCTTCCCCGCGCAGCAGCAGCAGTCGTCCCCGGCCACACCGGAGGGAGCCTCGGAGACAAGTCGTTTAATTAGAATGAAAGAAGACGAGAGGGAAAGCAAAGGGAAGTGTGAGGAAATATGCTCACCCCTTTGAGCTTAACAAGAAGGCCCCTAGCAGGGGGTAGGGGTGCATGTGTGTGTGTTTGCATGTCTGCAGGTCTTTGTGTGCACACATGTTCTTGTTTTATAATTCTTTAGAGAGCCACTTGTGTTACACACTCAGAGTGAGCAGACGTTTTTCAAAGTAAAGGTCATTTTTCCTGATCCTTACTTACCTTACCCTGGGGATAAGTTTAGAGATAAGATAAGATATTTGGGTTTAGGTTTTAGATTAACATTTAGATTAGGTTGGTTGGGTTAGGGTTAATGAGAATTTAGGATCAGGACTTGGATTAGGGGTTAGGATTAGAGGTTTAGTTGAGATAAAGGTTAAACTCAGGACTTGGACTAAAGAACACTGAGGGTTAAGGTAGGATTAAGTGTAGAAAAGTGCCCTCAAAACGTAAAAAAAAATATGAATGTGTGTGTGGGATAAAATGAATGGATCATAATTGATGCTAATTAATGGATAATTCCAGGTAGAATCAATTAGTTAAAGCGGGAAAGTGGCCAATCACTGATTTCCGAACACTAACGAAAGGAGTGTGTGTGTCCTCTTCATACTGTATGTCATTAGCCTGTGTTGCTGTTGTGCCTGCCTCTGTAAACGAACTCGCTTGTTTGTCAGCTCGCACCACATTCGGCGAGTGCTGCTGGCCTAAATAGTGGACGCTAACACGCATATCGCTAGCTTGATTTGGGTTTCTGGGTGTGAAAAAAAAAAAAAAGGAAACCGGACGCGAGGACAATAAATAATTTGTCCTCCTTTCATGAGGGATGTGTGTCACTCTCCTCTCTTTTTCATGAGCTTGATTATTCGTTTCATTTCATCACCTCTTCCAAGTGGACGGTTGAAAGCATTCTTCACAGGCCTTTGGGGGTTTGGGTCCAACAAAGCCAAGGACGCAGACACACACACACACACACACACCACAACAACAAGAAGGGAAGCTGAACTCAGCTGTTAGGAAATGCAATCACAAGGGGTTATCATACAGACACAAAACACACACACACACTGAACCTGGTGCCCTCTCTCTGGCAGGCCATTGTATTGTGGGATTGTGCGGACAATCTCTTCATGAATGATTAAGCAGTGTATTTCTCGACCAAGTCTTTGATGATGAGTGTGTGTTTGATCATCAGGCGAGTGTGCGCCGCTTTCTGCGACTGCTTTCGATACGTGTGCGCGAGCGAGCACAGGCGTATATTTTCCGTATGTTTGTCTGCAGTTGTGCGCACTTTGATGTGCGTGATACATGTGGATGTGCGTGAGTGTGTGTTTTTCGCGCTGCTGCGATGAGCCCCTGTTGATTGTGTCCCTCTCTTAACGAGGCTGCCTACAGCTGCCCCTGCTTGTGAGAAACTATTGTTGGGCCTGTTCAATGGAGAGACGCTTGTTTGGGAAAAGGTTGCAAAGTCATGGGAAAAGAGAGCTTTGTCTCGGCGGGGTCGTGAGGGAGTGAATCATGAGCGGACGTGTTTATAGCTTAACACACACAGCTGCGGCAGACACACACACACACATACGCAGAGATGAAGAAATGGACGCTCGAGAATGCACAGAGAAATCCTCAGAAACAAACATGTGCGCTCTTTTTTTGTCAAAGAGACAAAACACGAACAATTCAGAATTTAACTCGCACAAAGCAAATAAACACAGCTGCTTTGCACAGAATCGTGGACACACATAGACACACGTCCCACACACATGCTATCACAAGGTCTCTTATCACACAAACTCTGTATGGCTAACCTCTCGGGGGGAAAGGGGACATTGTGATATGTGGGTGGTGTGGTGTGTGGTGTGTGTGTGTGTGGTGGTGTTGTAGTGTGTGTGTGTGTGTTCCCTCTTGGACAGGGTGTCTCTTTATGATACAAAGCCCGGCTTTCTCAGCTCAAAATTCAGTGTCATCTGCTTTTACAAAGGCCTGGGCTATTCGTTCCAAGCCACCTGGACCAACATAGAGGCTCCAGTGTAGCACCAAAAAGGACAATACTTCCATTTTTAACTGTGACATACACCCACCCATTTTCTTAGGAGCTTGAGACACAGATTCACATTCAAATTGACTTTTTTTAGTTGAATTACTTTCCAGATTTTTTTTTCTATATAAAGTTATGCACTTATGTCTACAATCTACACAATTAGATATGTTTAGCATCCTGTTCATAAAAAAGAGGCTTCAAAATAAGAAGTCAACTAAGTTTGCATTTCCTGGTATTTCCTAGTGATAGGAATTCCTCCATAGATGAAAAGCAAGAGTGAAACATAATGCGTCCTCTTCTGAGGGGAGGAAAACAAGCTTAGTAGAACTTTTAATCAGTTTTTTACTTACTTTGAAAAAGTAAAGGGTGGTAGAAGATAGGTAGCCAAAGATATGGGGTAACTCCAGGCCTGAGTCAGACCGGATCCACATTACTTTCAGTATAATTGGGTCCAGGAAGGGTCCCATTCTAGGGTTTCAGGTCTAAGTCCACTTTTGTGTCTAATACCCAGGTGAGTCCAAGCAGACTCACCACATCAGCTCACAGTAGGAGTAAAAACTGCACTCAGTCTGGATGGCTTATATTGATATCCATTAGCTAGCTTGTAGTTACCATGATAAACATTTAAGATGGTGACCTAATTCAAAAATGTTATTGGCTACAAGGTGAATCCATGAAAAAGATGAACCTATTGTTAGCTTTTCTGTTTTGAGCGTCTTCCCAATTCCTTTCTTGGCTACCTCACTGGCTTAGTTGCCTGGATTTGTACAACGTTGCTGTTGCTTAACCGAGCCAATCTACTGCTGTGTCTGTGAAAACACCTACACAATCACTCAAACACACAATGGAATAAACATCAAAAACCTACCTCACTGACAGTTTTATGTGCAAACTTTGATTTATATAATATAGACTTAAATCATACATAGTGTACTAGCCAGCACCCTACTTCTGATTTTTCCAAGCAGGCTGACCGCTTTTAAGTGATTACACAGGTTGTGTGTGTGTGTGTG